AAAAAACAGATGGATGGTAAGCCAATTAATGGCCAAGCCTTCCTGATGCAAATTGATAAGATCTAGAAAGCCTGCAGTTACGCTGTCGACTAATAATAGCTTCGACCTCGGGAACCGCAGTTGTAGCCGTAGCTCTCTAGGTTGCAAGAACTTTAAGAGCAGCAGCGTGATGCTTGCAGAGAGCCCCTGCATTTCAGATCTCTTTGCCTGGGTGGTCTGCCAGAGTTCAGAAAGCTTTGAAGCTTCGCTTAGGACTGGAGTTAGCTTTTGTTGGATGTTTATTTAACATCGCTCTCCTGAAAAAGTGATCATGTAATTATTATCCAACATGGGTGGGTTACTTTTGTTATTAACTTGGTAAATATGAGCCTAGGAGCTTCTCTAGTTGTGAATGTTACTAATAGAAAAGATTCAAGCTGCATGCATCTGAATCATGGAGCCAGAGTTTAAAAACAAGTCACTGACACTGAAAAAGATTATTTTACAGTATTTAAAACTCAACAGTCACTGGTGAGAAGAAGTTAGTGCCCTCATTCCAGATAGTGATTCAAAATTCAACAATTTGAATTGCATTCTTGCAGCCATCATTTACCAGGTAAAAGCCAGAAGGAAGACAGTGCAGGTTTGCTGACCAACAGCTTGCAGGTTTGGCTGGCCATCAGAAGCAGTCTAGGTGGGGGAACATGCAGCTCACCGGGAGCTGATGCAGCTGGGTAAACTGTGCGGCAGTTCCACAATCAGTTTATCTCTGCATAAGCTGATGCTATTGCCAAAAGAGGTGGTTTTACCTTCCCACAGCTGCTACTTCCTACTCTGTGCTACCCCCTCCCTTGGACCACAACCCCTTGGTGTGGCTGTTCAGTGCAACGACTCAAGGACAGATCTGGATTGTTATTCTTTTTCTTTTTTTAATCTGGTTCTCACACATGAAAACAGAATATCACAGAATATCACAGAATAGTAGGGGTTGGAAGGGACCTCTGTGGGTCATCTAGTCCAACCCTCTTGCTGAAGCAGGGTCACCTACAGCAGGCTGCACAGGACCTTGTCCAGGCGGGTCTTGAATATCTCCAGAGAAGGAGACTCCACAACCTCCCTGGGCAGCCTGTTCCAGTGCTCCGTCACCCTCAGAGGGAAGAAGTTCTTCCTCATGTTCAGACGGAACTTCCTGTGCTTCCGTTTGTGCCCGTTGCCCTTTGTCCTGTCACTGGGCACCACTGGAAAGAGTCTGGCCCCATCCTCCTGACACCCACCCTTCAGATATTTGTAGGCATTTATAAGGTCCCCTCGCAGCCTTCTCTTCTTCAGGCTGAACAAGCCCAGTTCCCTCAACCTCTCCTCGTAGGAGAGATGTTCCAGTCCCCTCACCATCCTCGTAGCCCTCCGCTGGACTCTCTCCAGTAGCTCTTCATCTTTCTTGAACTGGGGAGCCCAGAACTGGACACACTACTCCAGATGGGGCCTCACTAGGGCAGTGTAGAGGGGAAGGAGAACCTCCCTCGTCCTGCTGGCCACACTCTTCTTGATGCACCCCAGGATCCCATTGGCTTTCTTGGCAGCCAGGGCACACTGCTGGCTCATGGTTAACCTAAAAACCGTTCCTATAAAACAAAATGTCTTTGACGTGGTAACGTTTCACCTGAAGCAAAACTTTGTGTTCATTCCTGAAGGCAGAACATAGCCGAGACACAAAGCCATGTGCTGCCAACCGTACAAATGAGGGACAAGAGGACATTGTGAACAAAACACACGTCAAACAGGTGAAGAACCTTTTTGCCATGAGTTATTTCGAGTCAGCCCCTCCAAGAGCAAACGGCTGGTGGAGAGCTGGTGTGGCAGAGAATGCCATCTAGAGGACTGCAACCCCACAGCCTGTTCACAGCACCCAGATGTACCTGGCACTGTAAAGTCGCTGTTCATAACTGATGGTCCATAGCTGTATTTTAATGGCTCAGGAAAGTCTGTTTTTTCTTCTTTTTTAGATTTGGGTTTGTTGGTTTTTTTTGCAAGAAGATACTGTACTGAAAGATTAAAATTATGTTTGCTTATTTTATAAAAAATATATCTTGAAAAACAGTTGGCTTGAGGAAGGGGATCATTTGCTTCTGTAATTATAATCAATTAGTCTCAGAATAATTATTTCTTCCACCAAGCACACAGTCTGACCACTCTTTTCTAGATGGTCTCCTCAGTTGTAACCCTCTCCCACTGAAGCAAATAGATGTTTTGTCACTGCTTTCAAAGTGAGCAGGACTTCATCCACAGAAATAATGTACTTTGCCCACACGCATACATCTGAGTCAAGTTTACTGTATTTTCTGCCGGCACAATTTTCCCTCCTTCCTTTTCTGATTATTGTAATAAAACTGTTCATCAGACAAGCAGACCAAGCTAAGGCCTTTCAAAGGAAGGTCTTGCTTTTTCTTTCATCAACAGCGCAGCTAGGGCCCAATTCTGTATCCCATTGAGAAATTCCTAAAAAATTCACGTGAAAGTTAAGTTTTGCAATTAACTTCTTAAGCTTGTAAAAGCTTCGGAGAAATATAACTAATGTACCTGGAAACCTCACTCCAGTGAGGTACATTACCAGAGTTCAGTTGGACTGCCTTTCCCCTTTGAAGCCTTGTCCCCAGGAGACTGATGAGCTAAAATGGGAATACAGAGCTATTTCTCCAGCTTGCAACCAGCCACCAGCTGTTCATCTTCTAAACCTAGTCCTTTCTCCCCTGCTGCTCCTCCAAACTCTCCCTGCCTTTTCCTACAGCATTCCTATCAAAGAGCCAGTTCTAACGATTAGATGGAAGAAGCAAACATCAAGAGTTCTTGCAGCAGCAAGTGGTGGAAAATTCTCCTACCTCAGCTATTTTCTGCAATTTGTCACCAAACTAAGATACATTAACATAGGCAAAGCAGCTCGCCCAGCCTCCTCTTGACCCTAAAGGGACAAAAAGCAAAGGAACAGCCACATGGCAGCAACAGCAGTTTTTACTTTTTCACCCATGCAAGGTGTTGTTTTCATACTGGAAGAAACCTTTCTCAGGACAGCTAGTAACATCCTCCAAATCCCAACCACTCAGATTAATTTTTTTTTTTTAATTCTCATTTTCAGTGTAAGACTAAACAAAATTCTCCAAAATAAACACACCCTACTTACCTGAGACATGCTTTGTTTGTTTTAATATACAGATCAATTTCTTTCTCTACTACTCAGATTTATTTTTTTTTTAATTCTCATTTTCAGTGTAAGACTAAACAAAATTCTCCAAAATAAACACACCCTACTTACCTGAGACATGCTTTGTTTTAATATACAGATCAATTTCTTTCTCTACTAAGTAAAAAATGTAGCAGCTTACTGAAGACTGGAATAATCTTGTACAAAAGTCACCCAGGAAATTAAGAAATATCAAAACTTCAGCTTCTTGAGTTGTCAATACAAATGAAAACATCATGAAATTTACTTTACACCAACGCTCCAGAGTATCATCTGAAAGACACTTGAAAAACTGCTCTACCATATCAGCACAATCAGCACACCAACAGCCACAGCACAACGTTTTCAAGTCTTTTCACAAACTGGTGTGTAAAACTCATTTCTCATTGCCCTGTTGGAAGCAGATTTTCTCAGTTCTTGTCTAAATGATGTGTCAATAAAAATACTGGTTCCTTGTATTATGCTTTTCCCATAAAAAAGCATAATACAGGGAAATGTGTTGCTATTTCTAAGCACGTTTTGGCTGACCACAGAGTCATTTGCCTGCCAGAGACCCCTCACTACGATGCCCAGCACTGTTCTTACTGCAGACTGGTGTAGCACAGAGATACACCGGACGACACTCGGCCCTGCAAGCACGGCACATGGCACGTAACCATGCCCTGCTCCCCCAGTGTTAATGAGGAGGAGCAAAGGAAAAGGTGCCTCAGTTCCTCTGGGAAATCTGCTCTTTCCATGGGATTCATTCAGTACCCACTAACTCCAGAGCTGGAGGATAAAAGCTTTCAAAACATGAATCCAGCAAAATCCATGTTTACCTTCTGATTTTGAAGAGCTGCAGAACCACAAAACTTCTTTACAACTCCTGAATGTAAGTCCAGCATTAAATAATAAAGGGGTAATGGTTTTAAACTAAAACAGGGTAGGTTTAGGCTGGATAGAAGGAAAAAATTATTTACAATGAGGGTGGTGAAACACTGGAACTGGTTGCCCAGAGAGGTAGTGGAGGCCCCATCCCTGGACACATTCAAGCCCAGGCTGGACAGGGCTCTGAGCACCCTGATCTCGTTAGCGGTGTCCCTGCTCGCTGCGGGGGGGTTGGACTAGATGACCTCTGGGGGTCCCTTCCGACCCAAAACTTTCTATGATTCTATGATTCTATAAACCCCAGAAAAAACACACATGCTTGCTTCTACGAATCCAAAAGATTAAAATATGCTGACCAGTTTCTCACAGCTGCAATACCTTTTCACAGACGATAACGAAAAATCCAACTCTACTGGGAAACACACATAGTAAACTCTTTAACCTGCTGAAAGAAGAAAAGGACTGTGCTTTGAGAAGACAAAATTAATTATGCAGTTTGTTAGGTAACTACCTTTTCATCTTCTGTTCCAGGATCTGATTCACTGAATTTTTCTTCCCGAAAGCTTCCGGTCCTCTCCATTTTTCCCATGCTCTGAAAAAAGGTTGTTTTTCCCAGTCTGTTGCTGTTGTGTCGTGTATTGATCTCTTCCAGCCTGTTGATCTTAAGTAGCTTCATACTATGTCCAGTTAATTTGCTGTCTGTTTTCCTCTCCACCTTAGATTCGTAAACCAGTGAACACTCATAACTTCTGATTTCTCTTCCTTCTTGGCTGTACAAAAGAAAAACAAGAAGCGTCAGTGTTAGTCATGTATTTTAGCTTCGAAAACCGCCATTGCTGCAATATTTTATATTTCAACTCTCCTTATAAATTCTGAACCAACACACAAACACAGAGTTAACAGCACTAGCTGCTCCCCGATGCCGTTCTACCTACTCACCTGCATTCAACGCCAGGTAAGCCAAGCAGGCTACAAGACCGATGCCATTCCATTCGTTCACAGACACTGTTCAGCTGTATCAGAGCAATACATATCGCCGTCGCTTGCAGACCTTGTTTATGGGTCACTCCCCACTTTTTAACCACTTCAGTGGTTCCCTGTTGCTCAATGTGTTCTCACTGTTGCTGTTCCAGCAAGTGCACACACAAGGGCCCTGTTATTAAGCCCATTAAGATTTTAGATAGTAAACAAAGCGTTTTATGCCTGAACACAGCCCTTCTCTCTCTTCCCACTATCCTATACCATGGAAATATGTAATTGCCAAAATAGTGGTGATTTCGGGCTGTCTGGTGAAAAGCACAGTCCTCAGCTGGGTCCCTCCCCACTATATGTGCCTAGTACTTACATGATGCAGGATCATCAAGGCTTGCCTAACGGTAAGATCGGCTGGAAAGTTACTGCAGGTCAAGCTGTTCGTTTTGATTAATTTTCTGTAGAAGGGCTTCTATTCCACAGCAAGGTGGTGCGTTCCCCCCACCAAGTAATCACTTGGTTAGACTTGGAAAACATATCCTTTTGAACAACCTATTTTAAAAAAGAAACTACTCTAAAAAATATCACTTAGGAACTCTGTGTAGACCCAGGAAATACAGTACAGAAAAGTTTTCGTTGTTATTACTGCAACCCTTCCTTCACTGTGCTGGAAACCCAGCTACAAAAGCACAGTGCTAAAGCTTTAGCTCTAGAAAGCCAAATCTGGTCAATCTCATTACACAGCTCATGGTTTTCACTTTAACTTGCATAAATACCATAAACTATATGGCGTAATTAAGAATGTATACACAGAGAAATAGCTTTCAGTGCACAAACAGAGACTCAGTTAAATCAGTTAGTTTTACCCAAACACCTTCCAACAGAAAACGTTCCTCGCTGTGTTTCGACCCCACATCTGTACACGTGCAACAGATTAGATGTACACCTACACCAACGGACTCCACTGTCCATAGTCAGCCCTCCAAACTCTTCCCAGATGCAAAAGACGCCACGTGCTATGACGTGTGACACAAGAGGTGGCTTGCTGGCAGTGACACAGATGATGGACAGCAAAAGACAGTGCAGCTTGCACATGAGCCTTCCAGAGGGACTCCTGCTACCACGTTACGGCAGCCCTTGAGCGCAGTGTTGGTATGTGAGATGCAGGGACACCAGCATGGGACTGTCAGACATTCATCATCTGAAGAAGTTGTGGACTCTGTATGCAAAAATTCCAGGTGTGCTGCTTCTCACCTCTATTACCAGCTCTCGTGGCTTTGACATCCCTTTCCAACCCCTTCAGGTGCAAGCACACTTTATACGAGATCGTCTTCCCCTGTTTCTCAAGAGCAGGGTTCTTGAGTTCTCCTGGAGGCACTGGCAATTGCAGGTGACACACCACAAGGGCTCCATCTGACCTTTGAGCCATTATTCTGCAGATGCTTTGATCTACTCCACACCAAGGAGTGACAAAACACGCTCCACACTATGTACTCCAGCTACTCAAATCCCACAGCGGTTTCGAGCGACCTGGCCGTGAAGACTACTTCTGGCCTGACATGACTGCAACCAAGGAAAGCTGATGCAGGTTCTCCGTAGCTCGTCAAGGAGCACATCACCCCCGAGGTTACGCTCACCAAATGTGGCTGTCCATCTAACGAGAAGGACATGTCCTACTGAAAGGACGTGTTGTTCCTTCAAGCTGACCAATGGGTCAGTCATCTAGGAAAATATTAATGGGATGGAAAGCCTGAAGGTATTACCATGCTCTGTTACCAAGCAGAGACTAGGACTGAGTCCAGACGTGATTACCCTCTCCCCCGTTATTACCTTAATTTATCTCTGAAAAAATAAGCTAAACAACGAATAGTTTCTGAGGGCCACACGGTGAAATTTGTTTGCAAGTGTCTCCTCCACAGTCCCAGAAAAGCAATCCCACCCTGGTCACGTGAGCAACGGGAGGCTACGGCCTTCCACGTTATGAAAAGGAAAAAGAAAAAATGAAATATTGAAATAGGTGTTGAGCTCTGTTTCCCCCAGAAAAGGGTGAAAACCTTCCCCCCACCATTTCCATCCCCCAGTTTCGGCCTGGAAGATGCTTTTCTCCGAGTCATCTCCAGCAAGCCAGTCTCTCACTCCAAGAGAAACAGCTTTCCTCCTGAGCCACGCACCTTCACTTCCAGGCTCAGGAACCGCACGCACGTCACAAAACCACGGAAACTTGCCACGCTGTGTGCACAGGGGGTACACACCGACAGTCCTACTGTTTTTTCTACCCAACAGCAGAAAATAAATGAATTTGCACACTAAAAACATAAAGTAACAAAATTTGCAAAGTAAAAACATAAACAATACAGCAAACATTTATAAAACTGGTTAGAAATAGAAATGGGCAGGCAAATAGGTATCAGCCAAAACAAGAAGATCCCACAAACAACTTCTTTTTCTTTCACCACCTGTTTTTTCGGTCGTAACCCCTGCAGCCAGCACCAGGCTGACACGACGGGCCGTGAGGCGCTTGGCTCCAAGCTCAGCCCTTTGGCCTCCATCTTCATCTCCAATAAAAAACTTCATTTCTGACCCACGGGCCATTTGCCAGCCCGGGGACAGGCACCGTTAGGCAGCGGCCAGGCTCGCTTGCCTCCCACCCCATCCTGACGTTCCACTGGCCGGAATTCTACCGGCCGCGAACGACTACGTAACAGCGCCTAATTAAACCTAAATGTATAATTGAAGACAGAAAACAAGATGTAACGCGGGAAGAATTGGCAGCGGGGCAAGGTCAGGCGGTAAATCGGGAAGCCAAGGGTACCTCTTACTATGGTTTTCTTTCAGATACAACCTGCCCTGCACTCTGCGTAATATGAGAGAGATATTTTTCATATTTAAAAAAGAGATACATTTTTGATATTAAAAATATAGCTATTTTTGATATTAAGAGATATATTTTTGATACTGAAAGATATATTTTTGATATTAAAAGATAGATTTTTGATATTAAAGAGATATTTTTGATATATTTTTGATATTAAAGAGAGATGTTTTTGATATTAAAGAGAGATGTTTTTGATATTAAAAGAGATATTTTTGATATTAGAAGAGGTATTTTTTATATTAGAAGAGATATTTTTGATATTAGAAGAGGTATTTTTGATATTAAAGAGATATTTTTGATATTAAAAGAGATTTTGATATTAAAAAGATCTATTTTTGATATTAAAAAATGATATATTTTTTATATTGAGACCTATTTTTGATATTAAAAAGATCTATTTTCAATATTAGATATCTATTTTCGATATTAGAGATCTATTTTATATTAAAAAAGATATCTATTTTCGATATTAGAGACCTATTTGATATTAAAAGAGATCTATTTTTTATATTAAGAGAGATCTATTTTTGATATTAAAAAAGAGATCTATTTTTTATATTTAAAAAAGAGATCTATTTTTCATATTTAAAAGAGATCTATTTTTGAT